CAATCAAGGTTTACGATTGACCGAATCGTAAACCTGCCTCCACCGCGACGAGCACGATTCTTGATCGTATAAGCCGAATCTCGGATTCGCGCGTTGGCCAAATTCCGTACAAATGCGGCATTAATTCCGCCGTCGGTTCTCCGATATCTCTTGATGCCACCTCGGGGCGCTGCGCAGAGACTCCGCGGAGGGTGAGACTCATATTTGTATCGCTCGAAGTCGGAAATTTCGGTCGGAGATACACTTGATCCATCTTAGCGCAAGAGATTTGGCTCATCTTAATTCACCTTAGGCGCTCTCTGCGCGCTTAACTGTTTCGAACAGTGCAAGTCGGTTAACCAGTGAAATTATTATGTAACGAATAGTATTGAATCCGTAATTCTGATAATAGCTTACATTTGCACGTGAAAGTTTCCATCCGAGCACGCATCCGAGAACTCGTCCGGCTGGTGCGCGTCGCGCGAAGAACTATACCTGACATTCTTCGAGCGACTCGACACCGCGAGTAAATCCTTCCTCTCGAGCAATCGTTCAAGTTATTCCTGTGTCATTTATTATGCGTCTGCGAATTCTATGCACCGCACGCTCTAGAAAGAAAAATTCTTGTTTTCACGACGAATTCGTTTTCAAGTGCGATAATGCAAGCGTGGCAAGTAAAACGATGCATCGCGTGCATCTCTTATCTCTCCTTCTCCCCCTCCTCTCTCTCTCTCTCTCTCTCTCTCTCTCTCTCTCTCTCTTTGCCTCTGTCTCTTTCTTTCCGGGTAGGCGCTAGAGCATTTCCCTAAATTTAAGAGCTTTTTTTGCTCCATGGCCTAGCGCTCACTCGCCGTGCACTCGGGAATATCGTCTACAAACTTTTTGCAAATCCAACAAATTTTGTCGCGTGCGTCCGGGAAGAAACGCGAGCGGTTCTCCGGGAGAGTAACGCCGTCAGGCGTTTTTCTTAAAACGGCCGCGAGGTATAACTCGCCGGTTTCATATTATACGTTCTCCGGGCCGTATTAAGGGGTGAAATTTATAGGTTGAGTTTCCACGGTAAACTTAGCCGATATCTCGCCGGGAGGCGAAACAAAGAGTGGCTCTCGGAGGTGGTCTCGCGGACCACCACCACCACCACCACCACCACCATCTCCGGGGATCTCCTCCCTGGCGGCTTCGTCGTTTCCGCCGTCTTTCGCTCCTTTATTCGCGGCTAGTTTCCCTTTCGTTTTTATTTTTCCACCCGCCTTCGCCGGCCGTGTCTTCTCCATCGCGTTCCCGCGGCGGAGTGTCAGCCGAACGACGGGAAAAAGCTGAAAGCTGCAGCCCAGCAGACGATGGGGGACCGTTGAACGACGCGAGAGTGGCTGCGCGGGGAGGGTGGCCGTCGTGAGAGGGTGCGAGAAAAGGTAGGTCGTAACGGCGCGAGATAGACGTCGAAAGACTGGGAAAAAAGCAGTCGGTTCCTCGACCGACGGTCGAGGAGCGCGCGCGTAGAAACTAGCCGTCCATTCAGCGGCGCGAGTCGACGAAGGAAAGAAGCTTAAATGGTTTTTCCATGGCCGAATCCGGGTCTAAACGTGTCGAAACTTTTTAACGAGCTCGTTAGGGTTCCGCGAATGGGCGGGGAAATTAATTATCCTTGAAAGGCCGCCCGCCCGCGCTCGTCTATACGGACATACGATGCTCCTCCGCCCTTTTCCAACTTTCTCGTAGTTCCCGCCCGATGGCTGCACATTCGCACGTGAGTTTTTGGTAGCCGCCACGTCGCCTGCCACGGCGTTATTCTCTCAAAAAAACGTAAACGTTGTGGTGATATGAATCATTTCTCTAAAAAAATGAAGTGAAATAAAGTGTAACGGAGTAACTCAGGGCGCTAACATTATACGAATCTCGCTACTCTTCAGACGCTCTTCAGAGTCTCTGTGCCTGTTGTTATTAAAATCAATCTCAACGCGATCCTTCCGCGTCTGACGCGTTTCTTTCGTTTTCTTGCACGCTGATTTACGTGAGATTTACGGATGGCAGGCTGAAAGTCAGCACCGTCGGCGCGAGCTATCCTTCGTCGTGCAAACTTTAATGACCGGTCGATTCGACCGCGGAGGGATAGGATCGAAATAAATGAGAACTCGTTCGCTTTTGCAACGACGGCGTGTTCGACCTGCCGTAGATTTATTTTGGATACCAGTAACTTTCGAAACCTTACAAGATATTAGGTTACGAGGCTCGCGCGTTTCTCGTCGATCCTATTCTGCTCGCACGAGAATGGTCGTTAGGTCGATCGGACGTGGGATCGCTTTGATTAACTCTCGACTTAACATCGTGTCGCTCTTGCGTAGTAACAATGCGAATAAACGAAATCCGGCGTCTACGGTTTTTTGTACAGCTTCTCGTGGCGCGTACCTGCGTACCACGGATCGCGCAATATCGGCCAATCAGAAACATGTAACTGAATTTACATCCTTTATCCCGGGTGGAAACGCACGCGAATATTTTCGACGCTCGTGTCGAGTGATTCGCGTTGAATTAAAGAGCCGCTTAATAGAGAATTATTAACGACCATATCGTCGTGGCACGAGGGAAGTCGATGCGTTCGTTCGAGTGCTCCGATGCTTTCCACCGGTGCTCTTCGCTATGATAAAATTTCGGTGCAAAAACGGTCCGCGCGTGCGAGAGCGGAACTGCGCGGGATACAAAATCCCGCGACTCTTTCTCTGTGGATATATATATATATACACATATACGTACATATACGTGTATATATATATGTGTATGTATGTACATATTTCGTTCTCTCTCTCTCTCTCTCTCTCTCTCTCTCTCTCTCTCTCTCTCTCTCTCTCTCTCTCTCTCTCTCTCTCTCTCTCTCTCTCTCTCTCTCTCTCTCTCTCTCTCTCTCTCTCTCTCTGCTCTTTCTCTGTCCCTCGGAATCGTACGCGACGACGAGTTGTGGCGTAGAAATAGCCACGATATAGAATAAAAAAAATCACCGTTGAATTTGATGCACGTCGACGTAATACGTGTTAACGTTCAACTTCGATCGTGCAAAATCGTAGGAAAGTCGTTACACACAAATATCGAGAGACATAGTTATCCGTTCGACTTGGTCGACGGTGTGTCCACAATCGCTTAGCGCGATTAGCCTCGTTCGTAGCTCCTCGTAGGTCCTCGCATCGTTGGTCAAGCCTACCATTTCGAATCGCAGTCGGCGAGACTAGGGGAGGGATCAGTCCTGAAAAAATCACGAATGCATACCGCCCGACGACGGCGAGCTGGAGCATCGAAATATTTAGTCTACCCGTCGCGGGACACGACGCGACGCGACTTTGTGTCGTCGGGGTAGCTTAAAAGGAATCGAGGACACTCGAGCTGACCTGGCTCTTCGATCCAACCGATGGCCGGCTTGACGTGCTGGAGGAATAATGTGTTTCCGTTTGTTTTCCTTTTCCTTTTTTTTTCTTTTCTTTTTTTGTTCGACTTCAGGTACCGTATGTACAAGTTGTGTATAGTCATTCGCGCGCATACATACACACTTACGTCGCGTCATTCACTCTTTCTCTCTCTCTCTCTCTCTCTCTCGTACGCGGTTTCGCATCCTCTCAAACGATCGTTCATTCGCACTCGAGTGATCGCGCCCATCATTTCGTCGCGCGTGATCGCGAGATGTATACAATAATATAATTATTGACTAGGACAGTGTTTTTGGTTCCAGCTTCGACGAGGAAATCGCTGAGTACAAATTTAACATCGAGTATGCCCGTGGCTAAATCGTTAAACATTTATACAAACGCGTTGGTCTTCGTATCGCAGTGATAAGGTGCGTGCGTGTTCATCGTCTTTCGTTGTCGTGCCGCTCGTCGGCACGTTTCTCGTTCTTCGTTCTCTCAGCTCTCTCCACCTTCCAGCGAGCATCGACAGCAGCTCGCCGGCGAGAGCGAGCCGGCTTATTTCTTTTGTCGACGATGCACGCGAGGCACGCGCGCTCTTTCATCGAACAATCGCATGACGACACGGGCTGATGTACGTATCAGTACCGCAACAACTACAATCGGACGTCGTACGCCACTGTGTGATTCTCGATCGTTTTACAGTCGCGTAATTCCCTTGTGACAAATGGCTGCGAATAAAGGCCGTTGTGCGTTTCGTTTGATACAAATAGATAACGAATTGATTAAAACGAGGCAGTGATGGAAAAGGCTGTGTCTCTGTGTGTGTGTGTGTGTTCCGTTACCGTCGGGATGCGGCTCGCGAGTTGGCCGCGCCGCCGAGCGAGCGCGCGGCATAATTCCGCGTGTATTCGTCGTTCGGCTGTTTGATTTTCTACGCTAAGTTGATAAATTATACAGTAGCTTGACAATGGCCCGTTGGTGTAATCAATAGCGCTACAATAGTACTGCCCGCGCTAGTTTCAAATTAATAGACCGTTGCTTCATTAATACGCAGCATACCGTTATTATTGCAGGTAATCGATTAAACTGCGTAGCAGTTATTAAATGCAATAAAGATCGAAGAGTCGCGGACGCGAATCGATCGATCTGGATGGACGCGCGGGGAAAGCGGGGGACTGTGAAGCGCATGAGTTTCAAGTCAATTTCACGTTTAAGCGAATTTTTAGCCCGAGACATTTTGACGCGCGCGCGCGCGGATTCACAATCGACACGACCTAGAGCCGATCGTCGATGTGTAGGCGAAATCGCAACTCGTCGCGATTAGATTTGGATTCTTTCCCAAGCAGGGCGCTGCTGGCGATACTCGTTCGTTCCGGCTGCAATTTTTGTCGGCAGCTTCGCACCTTTGGTCGCGGTACTGACGTGCCACTGGCCGTCTCGTTCAATATCCTTCGCTAGCACTCGCATCTCTCGCAGCTTCGATATCTCCGGCGGAAATCGAGTTTACCTACCTACTTACGTACAAAGATGAGAATCGTGGATAACGCCGAGAAGGATCGAAAGGAGAGAGAGAAAAAGAGAGAGAGAGAGAGAGAGAGAGAGAGAGAGAGAGAGAGAGAAAGAGAGAGAGAGAGAGAGAGAAAGAAAGAGAGAGAGAGAGAGAGTGTGTGTATGTATGTGAGAAAGAGGGAACGGTGTAGGAACAGAGTGTGTGTATTTGCGCGTGTACGTGTGTATGTTCGTTTTTGTATGTGAGCGTGCGGGAGCGGACACACCGAGAGCCGTCCCTGGGAGATGCGAGCGGTCGCGAACTTGGGGTAAAGTTGTAAAGGGTGAGTTTTACTCCCGCTAGGGCAGTGATCTTATTCCTTCCTCTCGATCGCTTCGTTCTCTCTGTTTCCGCTTCGATCGCCATCGTCGTGTTTGCGTTCCGCGGCGTTTCCCCCGTTCGTTCCTCGCCAAGAAAGAGAGGATTCCGGCGGCTTAAGGCGCCATCAGGCGCTTGATGTTGTAACGGCAGTAATCACGACCGATTATGTCCTCATGCGGGATCTCCTCCTCCAGGGGCTCCATGCCCTCCGCGGCCATGTTGTCGCGGGTCTGCACAGAGACATGTACACAACGAGAGAAAGAGAGTGAGTGAGAGAGAGAGAGAGAGAGAGAGAGAGAGAGAGAGAGAGAGAGAGAGAGAGAGAGAGAGGGAGAGCTGCGATGTAGTAAATTGCGAATTATCGACTGTTAAAGTGTGACTTTGGTGATTTATATGCTCAGTCGTTTACTACGCATCGACTACGACCGAACGCTGAGCGTGGAACAATCGTATCAACCGTAATTTACATTCGCCGATCACTCATCGTAATCACTCCGCGTGTACATCTGCAAATTCGCCGCGAGTGGCTCGACAATCCGCGATGCGCTCGTCGATTATGTTCTACTCGAGACTACAAAGAGAGAAACACACACCAAATTCACCCCCGCAATTCATGTAAGGAGTTCCAATTTTCCAGCCGGTTGCCTCCCTCCTCCCTTTGTCTCTTCTCGACTTTTCAAATCTCTAGGGTTTTTATTTACACCTAACTACTGCGCCATACGAGAGACAATTAAAGTTACCGGAGTCGTTCCGACGTACTCTTTGCTCTTGGAGATACAAGGACTTCGGGAAGACTTAAAAATCCGAATACCAAATCGCTGCCGGCAGCGAACAAATCGAGATATTTACGAGCATGTGCGCGAACGGGAGAAGCCCGGGGTGTTTGTCATCTTTCTCGGCTGCATTCCGACGGCGCGTTCGAGAGAAAGACCAATGAATTTGACGACGCGTCGTACCGTACCGCGTCGCGCCGCGCCACGTCGCGCTTCTGAGGTATAGCTTCCGAGGACGCAGCGAAGATGGAAGAGCGCGCACGTCGCAAATGTTCTCAGGAAAAATCGCGCCCGGCGATTGCCGTAGCAGCAGTAGCAGCAGCAGCAGCAGCAGCAGCAGCAGCAGCAGCGGGGAAAATAAAAAACGAAGAAAGATGCGCGCGCCCGGAATGGGCAACGATGAAAGGCAAAGACGAGAACGTGCAAGGGCGGCGGCGCGGCGGGAAAAAAAGTCGGCGCGAGTATATTTCATACGAGCATGCACGCCGCCCATCAATTCTCGGCGAAGCCCATTAACCCTCCCGCGGGGCCGCGCGACTCCGAAAACACGTAACTTTCGACCGCTGACGAACGCGACAGCGACGCTCCTCCGACGTACGCAGCTCCTCTCCGGCGTGATGACGAAAAATCGCCGTGGCGCAGGTCAGAGGTCAGAATCCGCGGCGAAGGATTAATATATATCGACAGCGATTTACCGCACGTGCGGAAAATCAGATGGACGACGAGAGCTTCGGGAAGGAGGAAGCGCGCTGCGCTTCTCCGTGACGCGAATTCTCTTTTTTTCTTCCAATTTTCCATCGCACTCGTTACGTTCGCGCGCTTCTCAATGTGTTCTACCGTTTTTCGGGTAATTGTAAAGGATCGCTGTCGTTACGATTTGATTGAGTTTGAGGTTGCACTTGCGCTTGCGTGCGGACGCCTCATGTTATGTGCTAATTAAACGGATACGAAGATCGACGACACCGGCTGCGCATCCGGCCGAGGTGAGAGAAAGGGATGAGCGTTTCGCACATTGATAGAGGGATATAAAAGTTGTCGTTGGATCCGAGATTGCCTCTTGCTGGGGGCTGCAGGGCGAAGTGAAACTTTTTTACGACGCGAGCAGAGGCGGTCTTTTGGTTTCGTAGGGAAATAATTTATCGTGGCAACGCCGGAATGTAAAAAGCTTTCATTGACTTCGAGACGTCACAGTTGAGCTTTTCTTTTCTTTTTTTTTTTTTCTCGCACTTGCTCGTCGCGGGATTTATTTCGCTTTCATAAAGTAAGAAAACGACTTTTCACGCCGCGCAGCCTAGGAGAGTCGAAAAGGCGGATGGTGGATTTGATTCCAGTCGAACTACGTATTAGGATGACGCGGCAAAAATTTCGCTCCCGTCCTTGAAATCCAGCCTGCAATTTTTTTTTTTTTTCGATTAAACCTATCGCAAATATTTACACAATTTTTCGGTCATTGCTTATCCGCGCAATGAGCCACCCCCCCCCCTCCCGATGTTATAGAAGGACACGGCGATAAGTACAAACGCCGTCGGGATTCCAAACGATTTTCCCGAAAACGTGAATCCTCGCGAATCGAAGCAGCGGGCAGAATCTGTGAAATTATTTTTTCGCCGGCTATGCATGGAAGGAGGAGAAACAGACGGCGTTTGAGCGAACGAAAGGGACCTCGTTGTTGCCGTAAGAAAAAGAAGCGACGGTCGCGTCCGGACTTTGACACTTCGTCGTTGTCGCGTTTGGTCGACGGTAAAGTCACAAACTGGCACATAATTGAAGAGAAAAGAGACTCGCCGGGGTAGATCGCGCGCCACGTCCCTCATCTCGCGCCGGTCCGGTGAATTTCCAATTAAACGACAGCATAGAGCAGTGACGGCGTATCTCCGGCGCCGGGGCACGGGAGAAAAGGAAATGAGCGCGCGCGCGGTGTATAGGAGCACGTCGACAGTCTAATCAAATCCGCCTTTATTGTCGCTTTCGCGCCTTGGGCGCGTAACGTTGCGGTTATAAACGCGAGCGAGAGCAATGCGCTCGTCTCCCTTTCTCGACGCTCGGCAGTAATAACCCCTCTCCCCGCTATCCCCCTGCCCCCCCCCGCGTATATTCTGCTTTAAAATTGAAATTTTTCCCTTCGAAACATCAACCGCGGACGCTCGGGACGACTACTGAATGAGAGATTAGAACGTTAATGGACGTTGAAAGGCTTCCCGCATAAATGCACCGACAGTCCCCGCCGAGTTGCGCTCGTTTTCGCACTTTTCCCGTATCAAACCGCGCGCAATACCGAAAACGGCAGGTTGCCATCCGGAATATTAAGTGCGCCGCGTGCCTTTTATTCCATGAAAACTCTCCTCGATACAGACTCCAGACTCGACAGTTCGCATCGTGTGTACTAATCGTGTATCGTGTACGAAGTCGTACTCTCGTCTTTCGAAGACAAACATCTCGGCGAGGGCTGCTGCGTCGTACTCGCCGGAATCGAGCGCCGAGTTGCGCGGTCCGATGTTTACGAGACACACAGAGGTCATTGAGCGGTATAAAAGGCGGTATAGAGAGCGAGGAACGAGCGGCAGTCCGGCTTGAATGTCGCGTGTGTGTCTTGCAGTGTGACGAATATCGACAGGTGGCAAACCGATAACGGCAGGCGCGCAATGCTAATTGCCGTGCGTTATTGCACGCCGTGGTGACGGCTGTTTGCGGTCGGTGTATTCTATCGGCGCGCGCTAACGGGAGGAGTGAAAAGGGGAAAATTTGAGGGAACGAGATCGGAAGTGTCCTGTGTGTGTGTGTGTGTGTGTGTAAATCCGTCGAGTGAAAACGGACTAATCGCGTCCTTGTTGATTTCTCGAGAAACACGACAGAGACGTGTACTAGTTGGCGCAAGGTTCCGCACTTTGCGCACGTCCGCGAAAAAGCCGACAGTCTCTTGGACCAAGTCCCTTTCCTAAAACGAGGAGCAGCTCCGGTGGTCACAAATCATTCGAAGGAACAAAAGGTCGGGAGAGTCGAGAAGGGACCTTCGGCCGCCATTAACGTATTTCGAGGTGGCACGGCGATTTGCATAATGCGAGTGTGTACGACACTGAGATTACATTACGCCCGAGGAATTTCCACCGCTGTTTCCGGACGACAACGACGACGACGACGACGACGACGACGATTCCTTGCGGTGGGAGGATGCCGCGGTCTTACGAAACAGTCTCAAAGTTCCTTCAGATTCCACTCCTCGTACGAGGAACAATAGCGGGATTGAATTTCAAGGTAACGTAATCGTCACCATTTTGTTCGCCGCGCCGTAGGCGCGGTCATTATTTCAACAATTACGACGTTTCTCGCCCGTCCTGTAACCCGGACATGCCTTCGGGGCAAGGGCGAGGAAGGGAGGCTGGGGAGCGACGACGAGAGGGCTTGAAATTGCTCAAAGGATTTGCCCTCTTCGCTCAACCTCGGCGACTTTATCGCGATGAGAAAAGCGAAGCAGATATTCGTGTGTGTGTGTGTGTGTGTGTCTGTGTCGTGTACTTCAGATAAGAAGGAAGAACGATTTCTCTCCCCGCGAATTTGCACGTCGAGAATTAACGGCAGCTCGTCGTCTCTCAGCCGGAAGAAACTCTATTCATAAGCGCATGAATCCGCCCACGATCCGTGCCGCGCGAATTATCATCCCCCGGTGCCGCCGCCGCCGCCGCCGCCGCGGTGGTGAAGTCACATTTTCGTATTCCGATAATGAATGAAATAATCTCGTAAGACAGCTCTGGTCTGGAAAATTACACGCGTCGGATTAGACCGGGATAATTTAAGACGGCGCCGGCGAAGCGAGCCGCGCCGTTACGTGCGTTACGCTTCCATCAGGCTTCCATTGTGTCGGACGCGGGCTAACGCCGCAGATTTTTCGCTGCCGCTGATAACGTGCCGTGTCTCCCGCGGCGCGCGCCGTGGGCGCATTTTTCCGCGACGTGGCGATAAATCAACGAAAAAAAGAGAGAATTCGCGGGGAATAATTTTAATTTCCCCGGTCAGCCGCGTGGCGCGATTACGCGCGAGTACGCCGGCGCGAATCTTTGTTCCTACGGAAACCCCCGAGAGAGAATCGTCAAGTGAGTGAATGCGAAATTTACGCTTTCGCGCGCATGCTCGTCGCGATGCTTTATTACACTACGATCCAAATGTGGAATAATGCACATTCTTCCCCAAATATAATAAACAATTCTTGCTTCGGGTAAATAACCGCGCGGTTCCGTTCACCGCAACGCGCGCCGCAATTAAATTATCACAGTAATTTCAACAACGGTCATCCCGAACGTCCTCAAACATCCGGAACATCCGGCGCACATAATTTCTCACATCATTCCTGTCGGGGCGTGTACTACCGCTACTACTACTACTTCGCGAGTAATATCCGGGACCGAAACATTTTCAGTCTCTGAATTCTCGCAGGGCGCAGGATCTGCATTCGACTGCGACCCCGAAAGCGAGGGCCGTTTAACGCTGAAATGTACGAGACATTAATAGAGTGGTCCTGAAGTATAGAAGTCGAATGAAATTTAATACAATTTCAGCGAAACATTAGAGCGTGCGGTGCAATTTCTGAACGGGATGCGTTTTCATTCAGCGAAATATTGTTGATATCACAATTGGACAAACGAATGGACCGGGGCCGGGGAGAGGGAGGGGGATATTCGAGTGATTATAAAACGTTTTCGGTGCCTCTTCAAGCGCCTCAACTTTGGCCCGATACGCGTTTTAGCCGATAACCAACATCACGCTTATTAATCCGACAGCGTAAGACAGCGAAGAAAGAAACATAATGAATTATTACACTCGTTCTCCTTTTTCCGCTAAACTCAATACAATTGCATTCCCCTGTAACTTGGTTGCGCGAAGGAAAGCGCGTTTTAAGCGTTTTTAATTAAAGCGTTGACGAGCAAAAGGCACCGGAGAGGTAGAGAGAACCGGCTCTCTCCCTTGAACGGCCTTATCTCTCTCGCAGAGTGCACTTATATTATGAAACGTCAGTGTTGAGCGATGCTGCGCGATACTTTAGAGCCGTTTAATACACACGTCATATGTAACTGTGGCTGTGCGTCATGAGCGCGCGCGCGCGCGCGCAAGAGGAAGAAAGAGAGAGACAGTGGATGGATGGGTGGGTGTGAGCGAGCGAGGGTGAGGCAAAGGGACGGGAGAAAGGGACCATCGAATGGGATATAGTGGATCGTGCCAGCTGGTTCTACTACGGCTGGCAGGGCTCCAAGGGAGCAAAAATCGCTCGGGTTTCTCGTCCGACGATGCACCGAGAGCGCGGGCCGGATGCATGATTTGTGTGCTTTATTAAATCCGATATTGGTCGAGTCGGCTAACCCGAACCAGGCCATCGGTTATCTCGCGGCAGAAACGAGCGCTCACTCCGTCCACTCTCGTCGAAGCGACTTCTCCACCTTCGGTCACGCGTCCGTTGCTTTTTTTCTTTTTCTTTTCATCGAGCTCCCCCCGCGGATGCGGTGCGACGCGACGCGACGCGACGCGGCGTGAGAGCGAGTGAGTTGGACGGAAGCGACGATTCGCCTTCTCTTCCCTTTTCCTTCTTTTAGTTTCCTCCCGCCCCCCCCCCTCCCCCATTCTCTCTTTCTCTCTCTCTCTCTCTCTATTTTTCTTACGGGAGAATAATTTACCTGCTCCACCGCCTTGAACACCCGTATAAGATTCAGACCAGCCAGCTTCTGAATGTCTCTCTCCGACCAGCCACGCGCTAGCAATTCCGCGAAGAGCTCCGGGTACTTGCTGACGTCCTCCAGGCCCGTTGGTGTCCTGGAGCAGAGAATTTACGATGAGATCTTATTGAGATCCGCAGGATGAGGAGACAGCGACGTGATCGATTAGGATTGAGTCGTAATAGATCGATCTACAAGTTCCTCCCGACGCGAGGCTTTTTCTCTCTCGCAGGCTTTTTCGATAATTATACGAATATTTCATCCGAATTTACAGCCGCTGCGAACTCGCCGGGAGGGAAAGCGACATTGTTTTTTTTTTTTTTTTTCTTTTTGGTCACGTCTCGTCAAACATACCGGGATGGGAGAGACATAACGGGCTGTTTCTCTTTATTATTATTGATATTACACGCGAATACTGTCGCGGCAGTAAAAATGACATTCGGCAAGTCGTTAATACGGCGCACCTGTGTCGTTCGGCGAGAGTGAAGCGCGACCTGGGATGAAAGTATAATTTCATCCTCTCGTGTTCTCCCCTCACACGCGGCCACCGAAAATATTGTTTTAAAACACTGCACTCGCCGGCGATAAATTTTCGTTGGCGGCCGGGCGCGCGTGGGTGCGCCATAAAAGTCGATATGGAAATAATGTCCGTTCTGTGGAGGAGCGCCGGCTTGTGAACGTACGGTGCACCTAAGACCACAATTTACATGAATATTTCCGCTCGATAAGATAGGGCTTTAATGAAGCAGAAAGCTCCCCGGGAGTTTAAATTAGAAAACTGCTTGAAACTTTTATAGGTCCGGCTCGTACTTGGCGTATTCCTCCATATTACTACGGTAATTTTACAGCGTGCAATTCTTCGCGGCAACGCGCCTATAAAGCGCTATATATCGCGCCTCGCGGTGCGCATGGTGAATTATATTTTCGTCCAGCTGCATTATTCAGCGTGTATAGGCGTGACCTTGACGGACGTGTGGCGTTTTATAAAAAGCTCTCAGTCTCTCGTCCATTATGCATGCGAGCGGCATGAATTAAAGAAGTTAATTAATATGTGTCTGTGCGAGATTAATGATGCAGCTCTTTTTTTTTGTTTCTTTTTTTTTTTTGTTGCGCGATATTTTCAGCACGATGCGAGATAGCGTCTCTTTGTCGGAGTAGCACAGAGAGAATTTCCGGCGGCGCACCGAACCCTTCCGTGAAAGGCGCCGTAAATAATCGTTCGCGGACGCGTGCGACCACGGTTATTTATTAGCGATTAGATATTATTTATTCTTATCTCTCTCTCTCTCTCTCTCTCTCTCTTTCCCGCCGTCGTAATTTCTCACCGGGAACAAATGTTTAGCTTAAATTATCCCGCGAAATGCGGCATGCAGTTTCTCCGTGTTTCGCGCGATACAGGAATAATCCGCTCTTCACTTCCGAGCGTTTCGCTCGGAACAATTATTCGTCGAGATCGTCGCGTCTCTCTGTAAAAATTAAACGAACGATTATTCCGAACGAACATCCCGCGTATCGCGTAAGACGAGGCGACCGAAGAGCGGGCGAATTCACGCCGGGAAAGATCAAAGTACAATAATGAACCAGACGGGGGGGGGGCGAGAGGTAGTCACGGATAAATTACACGAGTTACTTCGGGCGGTTTATCCTTCATTACTTTAATTAGCAGTACGCCCGGTGACTGCGGCGAACTTACTTCACCGTTGAGAGAGGCACTGCTGCGGTGAAAGCCCTCTCTCCCCCCTCCCCTCTCGTGCGATTACGAGTCCCACTTATGAGCCGAAGGTGGAAATGCGCCATGATGGTCGAAATTCTCGTCGTCCACCGTGGAGAAGAACAAAAAACACCTCTCGACATGCAATGTCGAAAAAAGAATCTCCTTCCGATTTCGATAAAAGGCGAGGGAGAGAGACAGATAGATAAAGAGAGTTCGTTTCGAATGTCGCGGAAGAGGCGTAATATTTTGCGCACTTATTCGACATTAATGACGACCGCGCTGTGCATTCGGGAAACGTTCGCGGCGGATCCTTCCGTTTTCGCAGTTCTCTAGGATTTCATTAATTCATCCCCCGGCGTCGTTGAGCGAACGAGCGCGATCGATACCTCTCGCGAGGGTACATTGAATCGCGACACCTCACTTCACGAGCGGTATAAAAGGGGTTAGAGTGAATTTCGACATTCTCATTACGGGCGTCATAACGAGGGCTCGTGCAAGGATGCGATGACAAGGACGGCGGCGGCGGGGCCGTCGAAAGCTGCTGCCCGCTGACAATGTCGGGCCAACAAGAGCGGTTAGAGACTTATTCATGGCGCGCCGTGTCGCCGGCTGAAACTGGCAGTTATACAGCTGTATACCGTATGCATCGGCCTACCGCATCCCAGCGCCGTTGTTCCAATCTCGGAAATTTCCAAAATTGGTGTGTCCATCATCATAAGCCGACTGTAAATGCGGGGTGATCGCGCGCGCGAAACGAGAGCGATAGCTCGCGCGTTAACCAACTCTCGACGATCGTATTTCACTTTTGTCCGCCACGTCGTCGGAGGGGCTCTATTTTTTCCATTTTTTTCGATCTTACTTTTCGCGGAGGGCTCGGGAAAGCGGACGCGACGCGATTTCCGCAGCGAAGTCGCCGATACGTCCGACTTGGACGGCATTACGAAGCAGAAATGAGCAGATCAGCCTCTGCCCTTTGGGGAGAACGAGAATTTCTTCGGGGATATTTCGATGACCTATATATGGCGCATACTTGCTCCACGTGTTACGCTTATAATTTATGAATTTAGTTTGCGAGCAAAAATGTATGTACGTTGTTTGCGAATCCGTTGAAGCTCGTTCATAGATCCCTCGGGATTTCGCGCGGAGCACGGAGGTTAAGAACGGTTTATCTAGAATTTATTAGGAGAGCACGGAACTTTGTTCCCGGCGCATGATTTATCTCGCCTGTGATCGGGAAAAAAGAACGAGCGAGAGAAACGCGAAGAGAAACGCGCGATAGAACCAGGACGCGCTTATATCGCCGCAACGATGCCGATTAACTGCGATTTTTTAGCGAAGAGCTCGAGCGCGAGCGCGAGACGGAGGAATCCGCGATGACCGGCTAAACGACGGAATTATGCACCGCCATAAATCACCCGAAAAAGAGAAAGAAAGAGAGAGAAAGGGAGGGAGGGGGAGAGAGAGAGAGAGAGAGAGAGAGAGAGAGAGAGAGAGAGAGAGAGAGAGAGAGAGAGAGTCGGCCACATATTAAACTCGCGATACAGACACCGCTCGTAGAAGCTGTCATGTAACGACAGTTACAGATAAATAATCGAGCCTCGAGCTGTACAGCGTCGAAAATATTGACCCGCCGCGAGCCACTCGTCTCGCGGATGTAGCCGTGTCGAAACGTGACGGTCCGCGAGCACCCGGCTACCCGTTGTAGAGAGAGAGTTGTTGGCTGACCACGGTCACGAACGTTGTCCCAATTCGCGAAATTTCCAATTCTGCCCGCCGCGCCGTCTCCCTGTCGTGACGGGATTGGTATCGAGTCCGTGGGCGTCGCGCCGCGCCGCGCCGCGCCGCGTCGCACCACATCGCGTCGTGTCGCGTCTCTGCGCTCTCACGTTCGACACGCGGATACTTGTGCAGCCACGACGAGATACGTAGGGTCGAATTTGTGCGGGTTGAAATCTGTGGTAATAAAATGCAGCGCGGACCTCGTAAGAATAATCCGTCATCAAATGTCTGTACGGACAACGCGCGAGCAGCGCTTTCGTCCTTCTCGCACCTCGCGGCCTCTCCTTTGCCGCGCGCGCACGCATGCTCTTTCTCTTTCTTCTTCTGTACTTCCTGTGGCCATCGTCCTCGTCGTCGCCGGTGCGACCGTTGTAGGATTCAAAAGTACCGTTTTCACGGGGAAAATACAGTTTCGCTCAAATCTAGTGACAGTGATTTATGGACGTGCATGAAAGTGCGCGGGACTCGCGTTGTGGGTCGCGCCGCGGAAAGGAACGATACTCCTCGCGCACGACGCCGCAGCTAGATTCAAGTAGAAAAATCCGAGGCAGAGAGCGAAGTATCCGTCAACCCTCCTCTCGCGTCTCGCCTTTGCCCGCGGTCGTGACGTGGATGCGAAGCACCTCCGACAATGAGATAAGGATGTTACACTTAACGGAGTGTCGCACGCGGCTTCTTCATCTACTTTCAAATTTTCGGAATTATTTTCCTAATTCCTCGCTACTCCGCGTGAATTTCGTCGTAAAAGTTCAGCAGTTCGAGGCACCTTCTCGATCACGCGCGACGACGCGTCGATGCGCGAAGCGAAGAACCGTCTTGACGGAGCGGTTCCCTAAATTCCTCTCGTTCATCCTCTCGTAAGCGGTAGCACTCGGATACGACGTTGTAACCAGCCGCTGCTGGAACTCGATGAACGCGGCGGCGGTCACGGCGGCGGTATGAATTTTAATCTAGCGTAAAAGCTTATTGGCCGGCAAGACTATCAGCGGCGCCACGTCCTGCCCGGTTTTAACCTCCACGCTTCCTAGAGCGTTCATCGTCTATTTCCGCGCAACCCACTTTCCGTCTTTAGAAATAATTAAATATGCCTTCGCTTTTTCCGGCCCGTCCCATACGGATATTTCCGTTATCTTTTTTCCCTTATCCCCATCTCTCTCTCTCTCTCTCTCTCTCTCTCTCTCTCTCTCACACTTTTTCACGTTGCGCCACGTGGCGAACTGCCGGCTTGCACTCACTCGATGAGTACAAATATCTTCCACAATTAGCCGGCTGAAATTTTAACAATCACTTCTATCGAGCGAAAGTGACTTTGCCCTTCTTGTTCTTCTTCTTCTTCCTCTTGTTCCTCTTTTCCTCCTTTTTCCTTACGGTAGTGCCGTAATTCCTCTCAAGAACTAAGTGGAAAGGATATAACTGCCTCGGAGTTGGGACTTTTTAGAACTTCTGCGGTCTTCTCTGCAGGCATGAAGACTCTGAAGGCGATGTAGAGTTCCGGATTCAAATTTTGCCACGGAAAGTGTCGCGGCGCGACCTTGAATGCATTCAAAAGGAAAGCTCAGTTCGTCTCAGCCGCCGCTCATTTGGCCGAACGGTGCAGGGGCACTGTTAACTTCGTTAACATAAAATCAGCCGCGTGGGCGAGCAAAAATTGATATCGTCCGCCGAATTAGCGTATCGATCCGGCCATCGAGCGCGTCGCTCGCCGGGCATAGCGCGAATTTGTTGGCCGGCGTTATCTGTTATTTCAGTTCCGCATTACTTGCTCCAACGAAGTTATTTGCAGCCGCACGCCGACACGATGGACATGGTTGGGCGATTCCCGCGGGTCGGAACGGGCTGACGAAGTGGAAATGCAATGGTTTATTATTGCGTAGCAATAAACGAATTGATCGTCGAGGAATAAATAGCGTCGCGTTTCCGGCTTTCATGCATTTCGGCTCAATTTCCTACGTGAAGGCAATGAGAACCGCCGATCATCCCCCTCCTCCTCCTCCTCCTCCTCCTCCTCCTCCTCTTGCTCGGGCGTACTGCCACATACGCGAATGTTACCCGCGAATCGAGAGCTCCTCTGCGAAACGGCTCCCTCGATTAGCTCGTTGAAATTTTAACCATGTGCTGTCAGCCAGTGAGTTAATTTAACGTGCAATTAAGAGCGCGGCGCGTTTCCGTCGTCGGATTCAGCGCCGGCCGTTTCTAATGCAGTTGACGATGCGGTTTCTGCATGAAATTGAGGGGACCGCATAATTCTCGTCCGCGGGACAAAATTGCTGATTAATTTGGCAAATAGCCGTTCTGCAAATTTGCCGCCTGCAAATGTGGCCGCTTCTTAAATTGTTTTGGGGTAGCCGCTTTTAATCGCCGTCGCGAGCGTGCCAGCGCTCTCGCTCTTCTTACCTCAGGCTTGTCATTAAGTTGTTCGGGTGCGCCTGTGTGCCACTTTCCCTGTTTCGCGAGGCGCACGTCGACGAATTTCAGAAAGTTCGTCCTGGTTCGTGTTCGCCGTGTCGCCTCTTCGAAAAACTCGAATTATCATCGAAACACCGTACGAGATCGCGCTCTGGCCGCGCTCGACGTACGATAAAAAGAGTTACGTCACGAATGCTTCGGCGCGCCGGAGCGTCAGGAATTTTTCGGAGGGAAAAAAAGGAATTTATGACAAGCTATTCATCGATCTGCGGCCCGTATTGGCTCCTGCGATTAACACGTTGAAATTTTAACCATGAATGTCAGCCGAAACGTTTCATCGTACCGCAGATACGCCGTACGTGATTCCTCCGGCGCGGAAATAACACGGATTTTACCTACGGAATTAAATATACTTGCGAGAGAACGGTTTTTGTCCGCGGTGAAAGCGCGTTATCGAATTTATTCGCGAGGGGTTCGACGTGAATTCGTTATAAAAATCGTTGGGCGGAAAATGAACGTTCCGCTCTTTGAAAAATTTCACTTACCACTTTCAGCGTTCACCGGGAAAAGGTATTAGATACCATCGTGGTTTTCGTCTCTCTCTCTCTCTCTCTCTCTCTCTCTCTCTCTCTCTCTCTCTCTGCCGCAATATACGTACATCTTACGCGAGACACGCGAAAAGAAAGCAGTGAATGATAGAATGTTTGCTTTTCCTTAACTTGCGGGGTTCCCATGCGTGATCCCTCCATACATATTCTCCCCTTTTATGGCATAATTTTTAACCATCCAACGTGAACATATCACGGACGGGGTGGGCGGTTGTTGTTTCAAATTTCTTCCCACCACGTGTAAGTTGGAATCCTGAGCTGCCACGGCAGATATTAAACCTTTCTTTTCGTAACGCAGAAAGCCGGAAACAGGGCACGGAGGAAACGAGCATTGTTTTCATTCCGATGTGACGTTTCTCTCGAGATTCCAGCCGTTCATATATCGTCACCAAAGCGCACCCTCGTCATTTGCATCGTTTTTCTTAGAACCGTCGTATTTGGAAATCTCGGAATTTGCGGAATGCTTGAGAATGAGAGCGAGGACAATTTTCCCCGATAAATTTCATGCAGCTGTCGCGGCGGGAGAAGAAAAGGGGAAATAACGACCGTCGCAGTATTGCGAATTCGTTCCTGCCATGCGTACGTTATCAGCTTTCATTAGCAATAATTGGAATATGAAATCGCTGTAACAAAGTTGTTGTGTCATCTCATCTGGCGCTCTCTAACCGCAATAAATCGAATCCGTTTACGCGAAACAATGTGAAACATCTACGTTGCTTTGTGTTTAGAGGTAATCATGTTTAAATCATACTGCACTGCATATTAATTACGGGTTTAATAAAATTAGGGAAGCGTGTGTGATATGTGAGTGGTGTTTGAAATAAAATTTAAGAACACTTTCATCAAAAATATAACATGTGGAGACTTTCAGCCCGGGGGTTATCAAGCGAATGTAATTAATTATGATTGCACGCATTACATTTTTCGCGTTTGTGCGGTAAAAAATAAAGAAAAAAGAAGATTGTCGTATCTGCCTAAAACTCCGCCAATAAAACTTGGAGTTTCACGTGCTGACATTTATACGTAAAAATCATGTCAATTTAAAATGTGATACCGAGCCACCGCGTTTTCATTTTAATGCCGCGGTAATCGAATACTCTTCTTCTACTACGGCGGGAAAAAAAATAAAAAATAATATATATCCAAAATAAAATTCCCAGCGGAACGTGATTTCCAATACATCAATAATTAATGACTCATATGTTCATTTATTAAACTCAACCGGTTTTCTGCGGTTTCTCTCTAAATTACATGCTCGGGTTCGATTTATTTGCTCATAAAAAATAAATGAAAGCTCATGCATAATAGTTACGTTCGGATTCAGCCCGCGTAAATTCTCCGATTTTACACACGCACACAGGCACGCATCGACGACAAACGTTGCGTCAGGCGTTATTAACGTGCTGTCGACTTAAATTTAGCTCTTCGATTCAAGTTTACGTCTCGGCCAAGGGGGAATAAAACTGGCAGAAATTACAGGCATTAATTATTTGCGGTGTACCGCGCTGCTGTGTGTGTATTTGTCGTGCATATTTATTTTTTCGATTCCGTGCATTTGTACTCGCCGATATTGTCGCCGGGCAAAAATACGAAAAAACCATATATATACGCGCGGCGATTCGATCAACGGCGTGCCTTTTACGTCGTTTTTCTTCTTTATCGTTCGATCTGCAAATCACGCATCACGATGCATCCGCACTGTTTTTCAATCCTCCACCATATACACTAGTAGACGCAACCACATGTGTTTTTCACGCGGATCCGAGCAGCTCAACAACTTTTTAGTTCACACCCCTACCGCTCTTATGATTTACTTCAAATTAGAGCGACCTGATTCTTCCCCCGCCCTTTCTTTCTTCTCCTCTTCTCCTGCTCCTTCTCCTTCTCCTTCCTCACGCTCTGTCAATCCTTTTTTCGCCAAGCTTAAAAATGGTAAGCACAGCGATTGCAGTAACACACGCGCTCGCTACAAAGGGGTCGGCATTTTTAACAAAAGAAGGGTTGGTCGATGCTCGTGTGTTTACCCGATTCTCACGTCCACTTAGCGGACCCCGTTTACCTCCCCGCCACCACTCATCGCGGCAAAAAAGAACTCCGCGGGGTCGTTCCCGGGCTGAACAAGCAGCGTGAGAAGCGTAACAAAGGCGGGGATAATGGAGGGGAATAACGCCGGCAGTTCGGTAACAAACAGCTTCAAATACCATCGAGTATCTCGCGAACGCGAATTTATTTACAGAGCTACTTGAAGAATTCATGGAGGGCGCGCGCGCAGCGGTGCTCTTTCAACGGCTTCTTTCGTGAAACGACGGAGGGCCCGAACGATATTTACGAGAGAAGTCGTCTCGACTAACACATCTGTCCGCGCGCGCGCGCGCGCGATACGTCGATTATCGCGATACGTTATTTCCTCGCCATGACATTCCAGTGTCACTTTTTGACTTTTGACGCAAGCGAGACGCAACGGAGCGTGCATATCTGTGTGGACGGTCAGCTAGAGAAGCCGAGAGAAAAGCACTGATATCCCCGATAAATTTCGCGAGAGAGCCGACTTGAACCGTCGCCCCGTGTCGCCGTGTCTCGCGGGTATGATCGGTGGCACCGTACGTATTGATTCACACCCCGACCTACATCCAAAGGCAGCCGAAAACTTCTCTCTCCACGCTGTCGCGCGCACCACGTAGCAACGAGGGCTTTCGACGCAATCAGTCGTCCGCTCGGCGACGGGAAACGCGCCCTCGAGTCTGCGACGCTTCCGTACGGCGAGGAAACACCGTCGTCGGTTGCCTCGCTTTAACAACGGGTCGTCGCGCGGAAAGCGCGCGCGCGCGATCGTCGGTTAGAATCTCGCTGTCTCGGTGTCGGTGGGAAAAAGTGAACGAGATAATAGCGGGCCGCGCACTCGCGCGTGTAATGCATCCGTCACATTAATCCCGTAGTCGCGCCTCGCGATCGCTCGCAAACACCGCTCGCTGTTGTCGCAAGTCAATATTTCGAGGTCACACTCACAAATTGATCCCGTCGTATCCAGCTCCGATGCCGACGTGATCCACCCCGGCGATCTTCCGCACGTGATTGATGTGCGCTGTAACATGTCAACGAAAATTGCATGTGTAACGTAAACGTCGTAATGTCCGTCGCGTTTACCGCGCGCGCATACGCTGCGATACACGCCGAGCGTACACAGCCACGTAGCTCGTAGCTCATTTGTCGTGCGACCAGCGAAATTACATTCGTCGGTCGGCCTAACCGCGCGGCCCGACCATTTTTTAGCTGCGCGACTAAATGTTGCGCCTTCCGCGAGAGTTACCGGGAGATAATTGCCCGCACTTACGCATCTCATTCGCGCTGCCATTGTCCGTCTCTACCGGTAACGCGTTTTTACACGATGACGTCGCGGATGCGCGCGCGCGCGCGCGCGCGTTTTGTATCCCAGACGCTGTAATTATCAATCCGCTGATACAATGCAGCGCGCGTGGGGGAGGGGGGGAGGGTTAAATTAATTCCCTCCTTCAATAGGAGAGAATGTTGCGTCTGCGCGAGCGGGATAAGTCAGAGTGGTAATTCATTAACGCTGCGCGCGCGCGCGCGCGGACTCATTTCCCCGCTTTATGTAAAGTCGACGACGGGCTCTCGGTAAACCAATTTGCCAGTTTACCACTGCTGAATTGCGTGAAGTTTAGAAAAACACCGCCGCTGCAGTCGGAGAAACGCGTTATTAACCTTCAATATTTACGCATTTAAACGCGCGCGCGGTCTTTTCGCGCGCTGGAAGACGGATAAAATTCGCGTGATAATTCGCAGCCGCAGGCCGCGACGGCGCGCATAAACAATGAAAATTTGCATATTATCCGTCAGACGGGTGTTATTGTTAACTCGGGGAACGGTCACTCGTATAATTTACATGTACGTTAATATCTCGCGAATATAATTCATGCCCCAGCGACCCGCAAGGCGGAAGACAATTTCACACGGTCATCAGGATTACACGAGCGAGTCTCACTTCTCGCTTATTAATTCAACGCGAATTCACGTCGCTTCACGTTCACGTGCAGTGCCAAAAGGGCACAGCGCGCGCGAGGGGGCAAGAAGAAGGGGGAGGGAAATAATGCCCCGATAACACTACGAGCGCGCGTTTTCAGCGGTCTAACAATTTTCAAACGTGCACAACGATCTAAGCACATGACGGATTACGCGCGCGCGCGACGTGTCGCTTGCTCGCGCGCGCTGGCGGCATGCATAATCGATCGAGCAGATGACATAATTCATCGCTGCGATCGGAGAGCGCAGCGTGCGTGGAGTAACGGCGCGCGTCATTGCGCTGTGATTTTGTTCGCGAGCCGCCCGCCGAGCGGAACACATCAGAAACGTCACGAATTTCGATTTTCGTGTTTGCCTCGCGTTGCTCGTCCGAATTCCTCGCGAGCGCGCGCGATCACTCTCTCCTCCTCTCGTCCGGCCTATCTCCATTATATCGTAAATTATGTGTCGATCGGCGCTCGCAGGCGCAGCGCGCGACGTGGTCTTTCGAAATTGATCATGATTCCGCGAGGCATATCGTTACCAAAGCGCGACCGGAAAATCACGCGTGACGCCCCAGCAAGGCGGATAAACAGATTGACGGATAATCCGGCCAGTCGGAAATTTCGATTACAATCAAAGCGCCGTGTGTAATCGCGCGCCTGGATATTTTCGGCGAGCAATTCCGCTAGACGCTCTCGCGCTGAAAAAATACGCGCGACTTTGTCGCGACTGTGTCGCGCGGCAAACAGAGGCGGCTCGAATTTGCATCGCTCGTGACTCGCGAGCTTAGCGGCTCGCTGCGAGATCTTTCGATTTGCATGCGCCCCCTCGTAAACAGGCGTGGTGGTTGACGCTCGCTCAGGCTTGCGAGACGACGCGCGAATGTCTGCCGAGATACGCGCGAGCGACGCGCGCCGAGCAATCGGTTGCAACCCAGGCGGAACAGAAAATCATGATGACATCAGAATGACGTCAGAATGATGAGGAAAAGTCATTTTTTCATTATGATTCGCTCATTTTCTCGTCATTTTGATTCGTCATTGTGATTTTTCGTTCTACCCGGCCGTGGCGGCCTGTAACGCAGCAACAACGCCTGCATTGTTGCAGCGTGAAAAAATTGATTCGGTCGCGTGCGAATTTCGAGGGCGTTTATCGCCGAGCGCGCATCACCGCCGCCGCGGTACGGAAGCTACTTTTGGCCCGCGACACAACGAACGCGCGCGCAAAGCCCCTTGATTTTAATTGGAAGGCGGTGGAACGATAATGCGAGCGAAATTACCGCTGTGCGGAGAGAGCGCGCGTTGTCCTGAATTCAAAGTAACTTCCGCCGGCGCGCGCGAATATAGTTTGTGATAGATAACGCGTGCTCTTCGCGCTCGCGGCGCGTGTCGGCCCGGGGCGAGCTCATATCGAGAAAATTGCATTCATACTATAAACAAAGAAACAGTTATTCGACAAACGTAGTGCGGTGAATTGCGAACGAGAGTGGGAGGGAGGGGGAGAGAGAGAGAGAGAGAGAGAGAGAGATCCGCGATACCGCGGTTATTATTAACCGGCAGCGATTGTTGGTCGGCGCAGCGCGGTCGCCATGGGATCGGCTTTCCACGCGCTGTTGGATGCGACGCGACGCGATCCAACGGTCGGAACAGAGAGAGAGAGAGAGAGAGAGAGAGAGAGAGAGAGAGAGAGAGTGGGGGGGGAAAGGGGGTGAGAGAAAGCCACGGTTGAATCAATCATAAGCGTAATACTGTCAATGACCCGGCCGCCGACGCGGTCGCGCGAACGCTACTGCAATCCCGCGACGTCGCCGAAATTATTGCCGTGCCTCGCGCGCACCCGGTATATAACATTCTTCCTGTTCGCCCGCGTAATTTTCTTCCCCGCCCCTGCCCCTCCTCCCCCCGAGCGGAACATCATTTTCTCCGCGGCTCTGTAGCCGGTGATGTAAAGCAATTAGAGATGCGGCTCGCGGAAGGAAACGATTATTCAGGTACCCGGCTATGGCCGATTACGCGTCCGATGCGCCGCTATCCGGCGCGCCGCGGGAACGAGCAATTACTGTTCGCTCTTTCTTTTGTTGCGCACCCGGAACGCGCTGTGCGAGATGCGCGCGCGAGCATTGCAATTTGAATGACCTTTCAATCCCACGCGATTCGTTATACCGTGTAAACGAAATTTACGCTATCCGCGTCCGGACGAGAAATGACAGAGTGTGAGAGAGAGAGAGAGAGAGAGACGGAGGATACGGGAAGTGGAGAAAAGAAAGAGGGAGAGGGAGAAATAAATGCGTTTATTATCACCCTAAGGTTAATCCTTCAAAAGCGCTGTTACGAGAGGAGAAGTCACAGATTACTGAATAAAATAGAATAAAATATTGTAAGAGAAAAGGGAAAAGGTGTGTGTATGATATTATGTAACAATGAATTTGAGAACGACATAGGTCGTAAAAAATAGATGGAACCTTTGTTTAATAAGAATTATATTTCAAATGGCTGTTCGAGATTGCGCAGAGAGGGAGAGAATGGAAGAGACACATCGCGCTACCGCGCGTTACCGCGCGGAATACGATATTATCGTGTGCACCGCGTTCGCTTATTCTTATGAGAGATACAGCGAAATGTGCCGTGAGGAAAATGGCGATATGGATTATCGCGATTCCAGCGTGACTACAAATTTTCCGGAGTTACGGGCCGCGGTTCGCCGGCTTGCGCGCTCCCACGAATTAACGGGAAACGGAGAAATGGACGAAAGTAAAGTAAAGGGGAGTTTATTGTCTCGTACATTCGCGTTTATTCGCGGCTTGAGAATTTCGAGATCCTGCGGCGCCTTCAGCGGCGCGACGCTCGGTCGGAGAGGAGAATGTGCGAACGTCTGTTCGCTCCTCGCACGTCAGAACTCACGTTCGCGTCTGCAAAAAACGACACCGCTTGGCAATACGACTACGTACGGAATTGGCTGCTCCCGCGGGAAACGTCGTTGGCGTTTCACTTTTTCCGTCGGACGTCTGCGGAACGCACGGTTTTCGCGCGCGATGCCTTTTCGGAACAACGGTTTGGCCGCCGCAAGTGTGAACTTTGGATCCGTGTGTTGTTATCGTGTAAACCGCAGGATTCGCTTCATCGAGTGACATTTCCGTGGTCACGGTCGAAGAATTAACCGCACTCATCCCCTTTTCCATGTCGCAAAGAAAATTACTATTATTAAAAAATACATAAAATTAATTTGTCACCTATATAATTAGTAACATGGTTTGCGTCTTGTAAGTGCAAGAGAGAGAAAGGGAGAGAGAGAGAGATAGAGAGAGAGAGAGCGGGAGAGAGAGAAGCGTTACATTCTACGTTTTAATTTAATTCCAAGGAGTTTGTCGTAGAGTTTGTCCCGTATACTTGATTAAAATTCTGTTCCCACGCGGTGGGTATATCTAAATATACCCACCGCGTGGGATATACATATATATATACACAGTCGTTTGCCGCGCGTATACATTACCCGTGCGGTCTCAAATGTTAATGTCTTCGGAACTTTGAGCCGCCCCCTATAATAATGCAAATAAGATGGCAACCCGCGGGAGTTGGCACCTAACGCGAAAACTCCGGCATCTATCGGGGTTTTGCGCCGCGCCGTGAGACGAAATCCTCCGGATGTTCGCTCTCCGCTGGTGAACGGGCACGTCCGAAAACCGCGGAAGCTATAGTCCCTTAGAATTACCGCCTACGGTCGAGCAAGAGAAAAAGGAACATCTCCCCTTGTGCTTTTCAATTAACTCTTCTCTCGGGACACGAGAGGCCACGACACGACACAATCGCGCGCGCGACGCTCTCTCGAAATCGTCGCGATGGACAGTGGAGCATCGGAGTGACGCTGATTATTTCGCCGGCGGGAGAGAAAGGAGGAAAAGCCGTGAACACAAACGCGCTCGTCGCTTCGGTTCAACGGCGCCGGGGGTGTTTCGCCGGGCGAGGCACGAACGCGCGGCGCGGCGCGGCGACAGGAATGCGGGAAACGCGGGCGAGCGAGCGATTCTATCGGTTATCGGATCGCGCCGCGCGCATCGTATTATTTCAAAAATTCGGAGATGATCGCGCATTTCGGCGAACAAATATCGAGGCTGAAGCGCGTGCGATACCGGTACGGTCGATTGGATCTCGTGAAATTTTATTAACATGTCGCGAGCGCGAGCGCGTAAACGAGAGCCGGCAGTGTAATATTCGTTTTGCAGGCGGCGAGAGCGCGCATTTCGCACGTGTGCGCGTGCGCGTGGTGAAACGATTGACGATTGAAAATCGAAGCGACAGACAATCCTTATCGCGCGACGGTCTTGCTCACCTGCCACATCCTCGAGCGTCGATGTTTCGCCACAGCTGATAAAATGGGGATAGAAGGATACCATAACTATACCACCGGTCTGCGCCTGCGAACAGAAATAGTGACGAGGTCGTGTGAGGAGCGGCGAGAGAAGGTGGAAGCGTCGATGATTTCGTTTAATCTCGTCTCTCGACACGTACGTCCGTCGCTACGCTACGTCGTCCCGTCGTCGTCGTACCACTCACCAAATGCCGCAGCGCGTGGTCAGGCACATTTCGCGAGGAATTGCAGAGAGCGTGAGCGCTGCTGTGACTGAAAATCACCGGCGCCCTCGACGTCGTCATGGCGTCCAGCATCGTGGGCACCGAGACGTGAGAGAGGTCCACCATCATCCCAAGTCGATTCATCTCCAGCACGACACTCTGAAAAAGTTTCGTGGAGCAACGTTAAACGAGTCTCGACAGTGCTCTGCAGGAGCCTTTGCTTGCTTGCTTGCTTGCTTGCTTGCTTGCTTGCTTGCTTGCGCGCAAAAATGCTCGATCGAATGGCATCGAGACACCGCGGATTAAAATACTTTGCGGGATTGCGGACGTTGCGTGTTAACGTTTCAGCAGCATCGGCCTCTCTCGCTTTCTCTCGCGATAGAAAGTGACGTTAGTCCTGATTGAAACGACTTGGAAAATGATCAGGCGGGATCACCTCGATGAGAGACGGTGTGATCGCGCAGATTTGTACAAATTTTCCTCCGCCAATTTTTCCTTCTTTCACCTCCCCCTCTCTCCTGCTCGTTTCTTAGTTACTTCGCGAAATTTCGAAACGATCACCACCGGAGCGTCTTTTCTTATTTATTTGGAGCGGCCTCCAGAGAACAAAAGCAAACTGACAGAGGGTTAGTTACGTATGCGTCTCGAGAGCTGCTTTTCGAATTAAATTTCGCGTTAGTACTGGTGGTAGATACGGGCTAGTTTATAGTACGCGCACGTTAGGTCAGTGACACTTATTGCGCGAGCCGGATTGAACTTCAGGACGAATTCTTTCTGGGGCTGCAACCTCGGCGAGAATGCCAATGCGAGGAGGGGCGTGGAGGTCCACGGAAGAATAAATCGAAATGTCGGATCTGCCGTATCCGCCAATCAGTATGCCTAACGGACGACAATCGGATTTCAGATTTATGCAAACGCGTCCCGTAACTCGCGCCGCGGCCGCGGAGAAAAAATATATAACGCGGGATATATTAATATTGGTAAAACAGCTCAAATAACAATACATCCCCGCGGCATCTTTATTTGAATTTTAATGCGTCCCAATCCGTCACGGAAACTGATTGATCCGTTGTGAATCTCGGTACCTGAAACGCTGCGGGCAATTTTACGTTAAAGTCGAGCGCGATCTGTGCGCGGATCAATAACAAAATCGCTCGAAAAATTCAGCTTCTGCAAATTGGGGGAAACGAGAGCGACGAGAGGGCGATACATTCTTGCGGATGCGCCGCGTGCGCGCTCCACTTGCGAAATATAATATCTATATTTTAAGCTAACGACGGAAAGTGAAATTCGCTCAGCTCTTTGGCATGGAAAAGGAGTCGTCCTTGTTAGGGCAGCCAAGTTGTCGCGCAAATTCCGATTTCTTTGTCGCGCGGAGAACGTTACCTCCGCTCTGCACGAGAATGCTTTGTTAAACCGGCAACGTGATAAACTGAACGTCCTAGGATTCCTCCTCGGCTTTCTTATCCCCACGGCTTCGCCATGGTCGTGCCTCCAGCCTTCTTCTTTTTACTTATTTTTTCCTCTTCTTTCGCGAGTCGTGACGGATTCTTAGCGTGACTTCCGTCTCGTTTTCATTGTGGATGCTTCAGGCGCGAGGGAAACTGCGCGAGAAGGATTCTCGAGGTGCCAGCGGATAAATAAGGAAAACTTTAATGTGCGCGCCGGTAAACCTTGTAGCGAACTTGGCGACGTGTTAAATAGGGATTAATAAGGAACGCAAAATCGTCGGATGTGAACGTCACCGAATCGCAACTTGAATTTCCACGCGACAAACGTCTTTTCCTCTCTTTTTCTTCACCTTCCCCCCCCCCTCTCTCTCTCTCTCTCTCTATCTCTCTTTCTTTTTAGCGCCGACGATTCTCTTCGAAATTTTCTTATCATATGTACCCATTTTCGAGAAAACTAGAATGCACCTGTCTTCAACAAGACTGGGAGAAATTTTCAAGAGCCTGAGGTAGCTCGTGAGAATCTCGGTGCATAGAATCGCGAAAAGAGAAGAGAGCGGTAGGGATTGGATACGTGCGGGTGACACGCGATAAGATGGTTTTACTGGTCGGAGGAGCCTTGATGAAAAGGGGAAGGAGGCGGGAGGAGACGAGTAGGAAAAGGAGATGCGTAAGCCTGGCTCGAGCGATTCCTTTCCATTATTCAAGCACTTTATATTCGGAAAAGAGCAACTCGTGTATCTCGTGATCTAACCGGACTTTTCATCGCATTTAGCTGCCCCGTGCTGAAACGGAGGGTTCGCTGAAAACCACAAATAATAATGGAACTCGCCAACTAACGAGAACGCGCGGGAAGGGACATTCGCGCGCCTATCGATCGGCGGATCGATCGATCGGTCGATCGATCGGACGTTATTTGCGGTATTGTGGCTTATCTATTAGCGTTTTGGCCAGTTGACGGACGTTGCTTCACTTCGTCTCGCCGTTCTTTGCCAGAACGATTCTCCATCCGTGCGAGTGAGTAGAATCGCTGCGAGTTATTTGGGGATATGGACGAATAGAAATACAGATCGTCCTGGATTGCGTAGCTGTGTAAAAGCACATAAGTATCTGATTGATGTATATACCGGCCGGGGCTTTCTTTTTAGGGAACATTATTGCCCTAATCTATGAGCTGGCTCCCCCCGAAAGCACATTCATAGCGAATTTATTTCCTTTGAGGGATGACGTTATACATTTTTTTTCCGGTTATTGGAAGAATCCACCCTCGAGGATCTCCAGGGTGTGTTAAGGTGGCGGTTGGTACGACCTATCGGTCGACAGGATGACGAATAAGCTTCATTCTCCCATGAGTCCTTTTGAAAGGTATCCACTCGTATCATAGATACGTTCTTCCATTCATTGCTCCCTCAGGTATTTTTCGTGCGAGAAGAACCGAAGAAGGGGTCGCGTCGCGTTGCGCCGTTCATTTATTCCCTTTCGACCTCTTCGGCCTAATCTTTTCCTCGACCTCGACTTTTGATCCCGTGACCAAGCTAATCCACCGCGATCGAACACGTACAATTTTGATATCTGCCACTTAAGTGTAGCCCACGTCGATCGCCGCGCGGTTCTGTCGTCGGTGTTCTCCTCGGAATAGCTTTCTCTCTGTCGTGAATTCGAAGTTGAAAAGTTGTAGGAGACGTTTCTCGTTCGTCGAAAATAAATATCTCTTCGGCACCGCAGGATTTTATATTAGGGAATGAAATATTTCTCCGGAATTAGAACGGATAAAATTAAAATTGCAATTTCAATCTTCTTTCCCTTTATTTCCACGCGTGCGGAATGAAATAATCGTAAAAATAATTTTCAGCTTTCGATAAAAAGTTGTCGCTAAAGTGCTGCAGAGTGCTCTCGTTGACGTTCCTTGTTAATATTTTTCTATTAGTACGTACCATCAGAATAAATCAGTAACATGAAAGCTCTATTCTCTCGCACATGTACACGCATTCTTGTTCCTTTTTACATAGACGTGTTTACACAGACGGTGAAATTTTTGCAACAAAGCCCGCGTCCGTTATTTTGTTCGAGCCAATAAAAACTCGCGGTGCACCCGTTGAAATAGCGGACGCTCGGAAAATCGTGTCGCCAATTACATTATCGACGTACAGTCGACGAGATTTGCCACGGCTGCGATGCCGATCATCCCGATTAGCTTACGCCCGTCGAATCTGTAGTATTCAAAATTGAATTCGTCGGAGTTACACCGGCCCCAACTTCCCCGCCGCGCCGCCTCTTCTGGAAGACGTCGTCGTCTTCCAGGATGCATTTTCCATTTGAGAGATCCGCCCGATCGAAACGGACTAGCCAAATCTCCGACAAGATTCCATTTCGGTCCTCCCGCGGAGAGAGACAAAGGGTCACCGGGCGGTGTCACTCGCTTTGGTCGCATAGGAGAAATTGCGCGGGTTCGCGAAATGCCGAAAGTTTTTCCAACGCAGTCGCTCGGGCCGGCCGGCCGGCCGGCCGACCAATGGCGACAAGTCGGGCGGAAAATGCGCATGAGTCTCTGTCTTCTCCTGCCTCTTCCCCCCTCGCGCGTCTTTGTTCACCGTGAGTGTACCCTCCGGGAACGGTCTCACTTTGATTGATTCAAGTTGCCGGCGACGGCGGATGCTGTTCTTTCTCGAGGGTGAAACTTACCCTATGCGACACCCCCCGCGCTTCGCCGCCAGCCACGGCCGACTCCCGTTATCGTCCAACTTCAGTTTGCGAAACTGTCGGCGTCTCGCCGACTATTTAGACGCGAACTCCCAGCGAACAAGCTCACAGGTGGCCTCAAAAGGGCGGCGGCCGGTCAAGCCGCGGCCATAACGCTTTCGGAAACTTATCGCTCGGCTGTACTGTCATATTGCGACTTTGCGAACATCCGCGTTGCTCTTCTGCCGAATTGATACACGAAACTGCCGGCGCGCCGGCAGTTCTTACTCGGACTCGCCTGGCGTAAATTTCCAGTCGCGACACTCCGCATAAATCGATCTCGCGCACCGATTCTTCGCCGCGCTGGCCGTGACCACAAAAGTGCCGCGCGCTTTTGCATTTTCCGCCTTTCGCACTCGCGCGTTTGTTGCTCGGTCCGCGCCTTTGTTCGCGCCAGCAACTTTTTCATGTGAATGTGCACGGTATTATGCAGCAGTCCACGCTCGTATAAATAATTATCGAGCACGCAGACAATGAACAATTGATATTGTTACTTCAATCTTCCGGACACTTACTATAAATTTTTTGCTCACTATGGGCCGACTGATTTCCGAGTGAAAAGAACGCAATGAAAGAAAGAACGTCGCGCGCTATGCCTCTGAGAAGTTCCGATACTCCAATGCGGCGTCGCAATGACTAAATTAAGAGAGCACGCAAACTTTGTGTTACGTCGAGGCGAATTGACTCTTATCTCCGTTCGGTGCGCTTTGGCGAGCGGTGAGAATGAAAATCGATCTTGGTAGCGGCAACTTGCCCGAAGTTTGTCGGCGGGTAAGAAACGCGCGCGCGTGCGCGTGCGCGTGCGGTAGCCGGGGAGGGCTAAGGTACAAGAGGTAAAAAGCGGGAAAGTTAATAAAGGACCGGCGTTGGAAAGTTTAGCACCGCCTACGAGATAGTACGCGGATCCTGGGAATTAAGATCGAGTGGACCGAGAGGGAACGATAATGCAGCTTTAAGGAGTCACTCGATATA